TTCATTAATTTTATCAGTCATATTACGTGATTGTCAAGTTATGACAATGCTTTATGACGATATCCTGAAACTATTAAATTTAACTAGTTATAGTGTTGATTAAGGATTAGTCAGTGGAAAAATAGGTATTGTTGCTTTAGGTGATTCAAAATCATCAGATATTTATAACGTTAAAGAATCCGAGACGCCTAATTTAATTATAAATTTCAATTCAGAAGCATTCGTTTAGTGTTCATTCTAGTAGGCTACGGAGTTTTGATTTTAAACGTTTGTTTAGCCAACAGCTACTTGGGGATTTAGTTATGTTACTAGTGCAGTTGATAGTACCTAAATTTTTAATCTTATTATCTAAACTATGTTCGCATTTTAGGCTGCTAATATGATAAACCAATCCATAAACCCAAATACGATTAGCAACAACGACTATGATGGGTTTATTGATAAATGTTAAAGGCGATCCAGATGATTTCTAAATTTATAAGACATGGAGATATAGTGCAACGTATGTATGGGCCAGGTTAACATGCAGGTTGTTGACGTATATGACGATTTAAAAATAATGAACATGACCAGAAAATAGTTTTAAAGTTTAGACTGCTTGTGAAACTTCAGGCAGGAATATGATGCGTTATAAACATTCCATAAGAAGTTACTGCATTTAGCCTAGGGACACTTACAAATATATAGCAAAAGGAACCGGAAAACATATACATGTTAAGTAAAAAAAATCATCCAGTAAAATAGTTGAACTCGCCTGGGTTATTTTTGAAAATTAGATTATTCAGTGGACGACATATATAAAGCCATTCGTGAGGAGTAGTGATGATCCATAAGTATCCAGAATAAAACATTCAGTATGGCAATTAATTCCATGATGCTTGATGCTGTTGACGTTTTTGGGACTCGCTCTGATCAGAACAACTGAATGAATCCAGATAATTGTGTGTGCCATTGAATGAGCCATCTAAAATGAACTTATGATTGCAGAAAACTTATAGCTGGAACTCACCGTATGTTTTTGGAGTAGTCATCCTCGTTGTTTGGCAATGGAACTCGCGAATATGAAATTAGGCAGGCAGTGGTCGGAAGAAAAGATATTACAGGATAGTGCGTAGTTTAAAACAGGATGAGGTGTTAAGTGAAGGAACAGTGAGAATTAGATCCAGATAACTATTTAGTCCTTGATTGCATTGTTAGTCAATGTATATTTACGCTATTTACAGGTCATATTTGCTAGAGCTTGATGTTTAAACAAGACTATGTCACTGAAGCATGTAAATGCTATTACAGCTTGTTAACAAACCATCAAAGCTAATTAGTTAATATAGACGACCAGTTTTTATTATCGATTGAGCTAGTTTGTCATGAGGACTAATCAATATAACATTACGATAATGCATGTGAGCATTAATCAGAGGACTATTAGCATACAGGGTTAACATAAATATAAAATCGATCGAGAAAGTTGGAGTGGAAATAAGGATTAATAATAATAGGTTGCGTTTTTCTAGTCGGGCTTACCAATGTAGAACTATGGTCTACTACGATATTAGTACTGCTCTAATAATAGACCTAATCATAAACTTGTCGATTTGCCATGATATAACTGCCTAATCTATAAGATCTTACGTGGAAGTCACACCATCGACTACACCAACTCACTGTATCGTATCAATTACCAATACATGATGAGGAAGAAGGTTAGACTGGAGAAAGAACAATATATTTAATATGAATAGAGACCACGCCTGCATGGCCGAGCCATGCCACTCGATCAACTCCAGTCCATTCAATTCATTGTTCGCGCCTTCTCCATTGTTAGGTATTTCTCCGCGTTAAATATTGAATATCTATTTTCTGAGTAGTCTCGTGTTCACAGCTTTGTGGATTGTGTGGCTATTGTCCAATGCCACTACACCCTCTTTGTTTGTTTTGAAGGAGGCTTTGATGATCCTTGGTCCATGAGATTCCCATCGTATAAGCGCATTTTGCGCTTGTTTAGATAGCATCAATGCAACTCATTGTGTATGTGGTGTAGAATCCAAACTAAGGTTTGGACTGGGGGATAGCTGACTAGGTGGGTTAGATGCGCGCCCTTGCCCGTTTGAAACCAAAACAAAGTAATTAGGTAAAATGACGGTTCTATAATTCATCATAAATTTAATCGTACATTGTTACCTAAACAAATATGACCACTCAGCTACCCAACCAATAATTGTTCAATTGATCAAGTCAATCACAAGAAATAAATGTTATTCTATCGTGTGTGGATAAACCACGCACAGATTCGTTCAAAAGATAATATCTGGTCGCTTTATAGCACAGAGTGTTTCCAATTCTGAAGGATTGCCTCAATTCACAACAAAAAATGCACAGTTCTAGTCAACACAGGTAACGCAATCAAAAGGAGGAACAAACAAATATGGCTGCCGCCAAGAATAAGTATAAAGCAAAACAACATAAGTGCAGTTCGGGAAGAGACATGGAGACTTAGTGAAGGCATAAGAAAAACAAAACTATAATAAAATATACAAATATTAACAATTCAAATATAATCATTAAACTAACAATGTACAACGAAAGGGATCAATAGGAACAAAGTACAAGTATATTCATGGAGGGATTTTCATACACATACAAAACATTCAAAACGGATCTTACATGTGGGGCGTTTTCTTCTTCATGGCCAGAGTATAAAAAAACTCCCCTGAAGCTAGTCGTTGGCGTCCAACTCGCGTCTAGTGTGTTTCACTGATTTAAAGCACTTCCAGGTTGTATCTCTTCATTGTACGAACATTCCATGTATCTTAATAAATGGTTGCTCTGGTTGTCAGAAGGGGCATCGGACTCGTGACTTCCGAAGGTACTCGGCTTTCATCATGAGGCGTCATAACTCTTCTAAATGAAAACCTGATTCTCAGGGCAGAATTTACGTGGTTTGAACAATTGCCTTTGATTAGCGTTGTTTTAAGTAGTCAGTTTTCTAAGAGATGTGGTCACTAACCCCATGCTCAACCCTTCTCCTTTATCTGGGCTTGAGTGTCACCAGGCGGAGGGATAAAATTCGCGCGAAAACACAAGACATTTTATTGTAAATCTAATTGGTTCTTCCATAAATTATAGTCTCGCCATTTCTGGTTACGAGTACGTCGTCGGATGAAAATTATCCCAGTTCACTATTTCGCCATAGAAAACTGAAATTCTAAGTGGAATATCACAGCTTCAAAATACACGTGTACACACTTACCAGTATGCTTTTGAGCTCTTACTTTTTTGAAATTATCTACAGTGGCTTCATGACTGCTCTGTTCTTCAACACCTTTGATCTATTGGTCTAGGAATGATGACTGTATCAGTATTGGCTTGTACACTGAAGCCAGTCGCCTCATTCACGGACAGCAACGCATCCACGAACATCCACATGGGTATAGAGATGCCACAAGTATTCGGACTTTGATAACACCTTAACTAACGACACTTTTATAGTTGAAGTATGCCAACCCAGTTAGGTCAGAAGTCAGAGACGAAGGAGTTCAAAAATATAAGTGGAGAACTACCGATGTGTCGAATGAACTTTTGGTTTAGGCTGGCTAGTAGTTGTCAGGGATGCGTCGTACGTCGTACTCTTAGTGGCATAATTCGTTTTTAAAGTTTTAAAGTATATAGTCAGGTTTTTCAATTTTTATGTTCCACATCAACACACACGCGTCCTAACTTATACATACGTTATATTACCTCTGTGCTAGTTGAATTATTTGCACCGTCTTTAACATTTTCACTAAACTACTCATAGTCGTTACTGCTATACACATTTGGGTTTATGAATTGAACTGTCACATTAGTCGCCTAAAAAAAATCTAGTTGGAATGGTTACGTCACCTCGTTGAAATATTATCATATTACACTGGTACAATTATTAAACCATCACGTAGCATTTGGTTAAAAAACACAAAATAATCACCAGAGTCTACTATTAAAGTCAACATTACTTAGACGAATATTTCTGGACCGCCATTTAGAATATAATCAGCACTCATGATGAGGATGCGTGACCGAGCGCTCACAGTTGGGTGAGTTATGTAAAACTAACGCGGTCAGCAAGGAATATCGAGGACTTACAGAGCTATTGATTCCGGTTATTTATTTACCGCTACAGGTTATTATGTATCACCCGGCATGACATTATCACGTATTCATCCCGTTATGGATCACTGGAGTATTTACCAGGATTTCATTAATTTAGATCTTGAATTTCACTTTATATCTCCGTTCTTCACGGTTTATCAAGTATTCTTAGACATTGTAGTTTCCGTTTCCGGTCGAACGCACAGATTTGAGAACAACAAATCTGTACTTTAATCTTGTATCACGTAACAAGCAACTTCCTATATGTATATTGTGAGTATGAGTAGTCTAAAACATATAAGAATATGTTTCTCCTACGTGCTGAAATTCATTCAACGCTGTTCCGAATTCAACCGAAACTGTCTGTTTGGCATAATGTGCTAAACCCACCAGTCAGGTAGACTGATGTGTTTGCCGAACGAGAAACATGACAAACGGAACTACGTTATCAGAAGACGAAACCAAAAATTGCTTATTTGGAGCAATTTTATGAACTGCAATACAGAAGGCACTGTCAGGATTAATGGAAGTCGACAACAGTTCCGAATTAACTGACTATCAGTCTTCACCGGAACTTTGAATAGACCAATGTGTCACAGAGACTATAAATGGACAGAATCGCGTGTGGCTATATTCCGATAAATTATTTACTTACCCGGCCAAAGAAGATCCTCTTACAATATTATTCAAGTGATGTATCTCAGAAAAAGATGCGTAGCAGCAGCCAACACTAAAAAAAGCAAAAGAACTTTGTTTATTTTGTTAGGAACGACTTTGGTGATTTTTAGACGTCAACAGACTACGTAAATATACAAACACCTAGGAATATTGCCAACATATACGCACGCAACTGACCTCAAGGACTTCATATACACAATGCCTGTTGTCGCTTAGGGCGTCCAAGGTCGTGGGAAGGAAAGTGCGGTCAGGTTTGAAAGTCGATCGTTTGTTCCGTGGATTTACCTAGGTTCACATAGGTGAGTGTCGTAATGAATAAGCAGGAAACGACAAAAGAATAAGACCCGACTACGCTTTTGAACTCTCTTAAGACCTAAACATGTAATAAATCAGGAAACAGCAAAAGTAAACAAGGACTAAGATTCATTTGTAGTATACTGAGTTATGAACTTCGGCTTGATGTGTAATGAAGTAAAAACCTGCTTAGAAGTAGTAAGCAAATTATACCAGTACCGAAGTTTCAGTGTTAAAACGAAGAGTTCTAGATATAGTGCTAGGATGTAGCTTTTGGAGATATGGTGTCTTAGAATTCATTTCTTGGTTCAAGACGTGAGGTTCGGGTTGGTTTTGTCTTTGCGGTCAGTCTATGTGTAATGTCGCACAGTCCTATTCTAACTTCAAACTCTAGGTTGTCGCACAAGTCATCTGTTTCATGTTTTACTCTCCAGGGTCGTCTCATTTCCACTTTTTTATTATCGTCTCTGGTTGCGTAATTATATTTGACTTTAGATTCTGCCAGGATTTATTTACTATGACATTCTAGGTTACTGTTCGAGAATATCCAAACTTCACAATGTTGTTTGGGGGCTGATATCGTACATGATGTAGGTCGTAAGTGCTTGATTATTGGCTTGGGCTTGTAAAAAACTAGTTTGCTATGTCTATTTAGTTCCCATAAAAAACATGGTATGACTGGCCACCATAGATTCAATGTGACACAGTAAATAGAGTTTGCGCAGTTTGCGGTTGAAAACTAGTTAGTGTGGCTGAAAATCAATCGTAGTAGTACATATGTGCTCATCCTCTTTTTTCATCTCAATCCCAATCATGACATTACACATTTTTCACTTCTTGTTTTTCATACGCCAAGGTACCGACTGACAGTAAGTTGCAAAACATTTGAAGTTAAGTTTTTGGCGTCAGTACATTATATGCATATTGTCTTAATCTCTATTCCTTCACTTGGCGTTATTAACTTTACTCCTTTGTTTTTTTTCTGATTCATTTCCTCTGTTAACTTATGGTGACTCACGGTCATCTGTTCTGGGTCCATTGTAATTTATGTTTCTGTTTGTCGAATTAAAGATTCTTCCCCTTACACGACATTTGTAATGGCTGCGAAAAATGGACATGCATATGCTGTAGGTATTTGATAATAGGTGTCTCGTGAAACACTTGAGTGAACAGTGTTGAGGTTCAGCATCGGTTACTAGACAGAGATGGCAGATCGGTCGATGGGGTTGCAAATCCTTATCGGTTGAAGTGCTTAAGATATATGTTAGATATGTCTAACTACTGTCTATCTCCATGGTTAATGTTTACTAGTGTGGGATTATATCGACAGAAAGCTTGGTGTGGCAAAACTAAAGTGTGGCGTCAGTTCGTGAAGTAATTGAGCTTATTGTTAGCTGCCGTCTAGTCATTGCGTTGAGTTATATTTACGGGCAGTATCCACTTTTTCTCTTTAGCTATGTGGAAAGTAATTTTTTGTCTACCTTGACGCTAAATTCTCAAATAAAAATCAAGACATCAACTTCTAAGATTCAGTGGGTAGTATTTTAAATATTAGCTGTATTTAAGAAACCTCAGTGAAACAAAATGAGTTTTATGATTAACCTCTTCAGATCAATCCAAGTTTAAATGGTAAATGAATCACATCAAATGATCTGAATTAATACTTGTTACGATTTTTAACCAAATAATGATAAAGCATTATAATTCCACGTTCCATCAAGTCTCTTTCTCTTTGATGATGTCATACTTTACTTATCGTTAATTAGGTGTTCATATTGCATTAGCGCCTGGTTAGTATTATGAAGAAAAGACCGAAGCTTAGTCTTATTTTTGATGAGGAGAAGAGAAAGTACGGTCTTTATTTTCCCACTTTCGAGTTATTAGAGAATATCTTACTGGATTTCGAAAAAGAAAACTTGAACGTAAAGAAAAGGGACGTAAAGCAGCAGAAAAACAATTAAAAAATGAGATTAAGGCTGTTAAGGACAAAGTTTGTCGTGATTCATGTGTTGTTACTTTATTAGTATAGAGAGGCTGCTCGTCAAAAGCTTGAAAATATTCGGTTGCCTGGGCCTCTAGATTGTGTTGAAAACATCCTTTCCAATGACAAACAGGTTATCGGAGACCAAAGTGTTGTTATTCAAGAATTAGATTTGTGTAATTCCCATTATTTCATGGGTGCTTGCAAGGTACATTGAGATAAAGCAGTTTCACTCCTAACTTATTCAGGAACGAAATTCTGATCCAATCATTTCTAGTGAAGAGTATGTTGTTATTTTTAATGACTATTTTTATTTAGGCCACATATGTCGCTTAAAAAAGCACTCAAAATGAATCCCATGAGGAGTAAAAAGCGTTTCCGCCGTTCAAAAAAACAAACCTCCAAACATAAACGTCGTAAATAGTGGTTCCGTCTTGTACATTTTCGTATACAAAATAATCCGATATTTGCTCTGATACAATTGAGTTTTTTAATTTTGCGCTTTCAACGAAGTGTGTTTGTTAGCAAAATAACCTATTTAAGAGGTGATTTTTACTGTAAACTCCATTCGGTGCAGTATTATAAGCGAAAATGAGCTTTATTTGTGTGCAGTTATACGAATAGTTGGTTTCTAAATCTCCAAAGTGTGTGGAATTCTGGGGCGCCAGGGTTTTTTGATAAAGTCAATGTAAGGAAATTGTTGCTGAACAGAATACTTTGATTGGTAACTAATTTGTAAACTTCATCCAATACAGGATAATTGACACACTGTACATAATATAACTCTCTGAACATAAAGGTAGCTAATAAAATTGAAATCTAAAGCTCAAATAAATTAGCCACCCATACATTTATTGCTCTTTTTTTAGATACCTCACAATAATTATTTCAGCTCCAAACATACCCTATCCACTTTGAATTCGCCCAATATTGTTAACTATTGTATAAATAGGAAGGGAAGTGATAGCGCGATGGTCAAATTACTCCTTTTAACCGTTATATTTTAGGTTCATATCTCGCTCCACCTACTTCTGTCTGAATAACCTTTTAGTATCGGTAGACATCATCTTGGCATTTTGACTCTGGGTAAAGTGCATTAACCCGCAAATCACATGTGAGTTAAGTTAGATTAAACGAAAGGAGTATATTGATAAAATAATTCTTAAAACAAACCAATAAGTGTAGGATTCCAACCCCACTATATCTACTTCAGTTTAAAAACCGAATTATCACCGTCCCTCAAAACCAATAACGAAATTTTATGTGGTTGCTGATCTGGATTAGCTATATATTTATATGAGAACGAATAAAAGTTCATTTATATTTACTCTTGCATACCTGACTTCACTGAGAAAATACTTCGCACTGTCCTGCCTTTATTGCATATATGAAAGGTGCTATATAAAATTGATTGAAAAGAACAGTTGTCTACTACTCAGATTGGGCTTTATAGTAATCGTAATTAAATACACATGCTACATTTGATGTTTTCGTAGCGGCTTCACAGTTTCAGGATGCACTTAAATGGTTTTCATTCAAGTTATCAGGTGTTCATACTTTTAGTTCAAGAACTGGATCTTTGGATAAACTATCAGCGACACTAGCCACGTAAACGTCTTTTTAGCGTTTAATACTGGCCATTTTATTTCCAGTCCGATTAAGTATTTATAGATTAACCGTAACTCGTAACCTTTAGCACTTCCCCACACATCAGTGTTTTTGTAGGTTCATATTCCTTCGAACTGAATTTTCCATAGTGGTATGAATAAAATAAAGAAGTAATGAATAAACGAAGTAGATGAGCCCTGTTATATATTCTACTGTTTCTAATACAAACGATTCGCATGGTTTAATAAAGAAAATATCTCATGTTCATTAAATATCTATTTGAATTCATTTCTTTACTCAGAATATAGGGGTATCAAATCACAAAATATGTAATTGGAATGGTGGTGATTTTCATATTACATTTCATCACCTTTGTGAAATGTCTTACAACTAAATTTGGAGTACGGTCATCAGGATGAGGCGAATCTGATAGTCTTCAAGCCACTAGTTGCAAACTACATTAGTGGCTTGGGCCACGTGTTACATAAACTTGAACACAGATTACCACACGCGCAATGCTGACTAGCGTTGGAGACGGTTAGAAGAAAGTTAGGGGCGGCCAAACCAAAACATGGGATCAGTCTTTGAATTCGCTAACTTCTAGTCTGAGCCATATTGGTAGGTGTAGACTACTCGGTTGGGGTCCGCGTGAATATCGTAACCAATGGTTGGAGACTGGGTGACATGGATCATAATCGGTCACAATGGCGTAGGTGTATACACTCTTTGTCTTCCCTTAAACTGTGAGACTAAAATTACTTTATACCTTTTTTTCTCTATGAACTAATTCTTCCTTCCTGTGTTATATCTTTATATGCACCCTTTTTTACATATTACTATCATTGAAGTAACTACTATGAATTTGGTGTTCATCTTGTTGTGCTAATGAGATGTAACAACCTGGACCGATGCATATATGTACCTGGTCCCACGTTTTAGCTGACTGAATGACTAACTAGTTTCAAGTCAAACATAGGAATGGTCACCTCACTATCAACGCAGTGTCAAATGTGTAGACATGATCTCATAATTAGCGCAAATGAAACAATTTAGTTGCTGACTAAAAATGACTTAAAACTACTCATTTAAGTTAGCTACTTAAATGAGTTGATTATATTTATGCCTAAAGTAAATATAAGGTTTATTGACTAGAGAAAAATGATAGTTATCCTTTGTGATGGTGTCAAGCTTATTACAATATTGGGTTGAATGTTTTGATTTCACAAACAAACCTCGGAATTTTTCAGTCTGAACTATATGGTCTTCATTCTGCCCTAAAATATTTGGTAAGTTTTATATGAGTGGACATCGGAATACATTGCTACTCATATTTGGTCCTCCCCTCCTAAAATCTTCCCTTATCCATTTTTAACAGCTATCACTATTTATATGATTGGGCTTAATGAATTATGAGTAAGGGATTGGCCCCAAGTAAAAGTACTGTGTACATAAGTAATCTGCCATTCAGCCTAACCAACAATGATATTCATCAAATATTACAGCCATATGGTAAAGTGGTCAGGTGAGTTTTGATTTATTGTTTATTAAAGTACTAAACTGGTAGTTACTGTTACTTACTCAAGCAATAAATTTAGAGTTATGCATTTCTGCAATTTAGGCACTTTGTTTTCAATCACGAAGATGAGATTTCAGCGTAATAAATCATGACACTAGATATTAAATTCTTCAACAGTTAGTGTGTTAACGGAAGTCCTGAAGGAAGCTTTAATCGATGTTCGTGGTAATAAACAAAATACTTAAGGGTCGAGATCACCTGCCTAATAAACCTATTTTCTAACCTGCTTTTAACTATGGCTTCTGTTTTTGTGTGTCTTTCTGATCGTAAAATTCAATCATAGCCGTTCCTCGTTAAAGTATAACAATCCGAACTAAGTCGCAAAATTATCACGTTTCAAGATTGTCTAACATCTACTACTACACTATTATCTCTCGATAATGCAATCAAAAGACGAATGCTATCAGAATTATGTGATATGTTTGCGCAATACATTTCGAACAATTTGGTCACACATAACTCCGTCTGGAGTAAGTAAGTAAGTGGTCACACATATGCTCGTTAAGACATTTTTATATGAAAAATAAAAGGTCGACTAGACAAATAATAAAGTACACAAAAGCAATATGAAAACCACGCTGGATAATAAGTCAGTATTACTAGTGTAGGTTAAGGGTAAGAACAAATTATTTTTTAATACACAAAGGAGTTTCAGTTACTGTATAGCCGATGCTTCAATGAACTTTAGTATACAATACTACAAAGGTTGACTTGATATCAACCTTATAACCGGTCTCATCCAAATGTTTCGCAATGGAGGTGGATGCTTGTCTATCCTGCAGTCTTATTTAATCATCGGAATTCATTTATTTTTGCAGCCATTTAGGTATGTGTTCAGCTACCCTTACTTGCAGCTCACAATTGCTTCTCCCCATGTACGTGTTTACGCACATACATGTGACACAATCGCTTACGTGCTGTTTAGGTTTTTGGTGAAACATAGATCTTGCCTTTTAAATAATGAAGAGTTGGGCTGCATGAAGTGTCCTGTTGATAGCTGATTTAAGTCTCCGTCTCAACATATGACTATTTGAGTCACCTCTAAATGGTAACGTAATGTAGACTCGATTTCGGGTGCCAGGACCATCATAGGTCTCACCTGAATTAGGCATTGAAGTCCTCTATGATCAATCAAGTACCTCATTCCCTTCATCCTTAGAGAATCAAAATTGGTTTGAAGCTAAACTAGTGGATATAGCGTACTAGTTTCATTATCCTTAACCAAAGGAGAGAAGCATATTAACTTCTCAGCACTTCAAGTCATTAAAAGAATCGCGAAATAATGCTGATATTATTATAATTAAACCTGATAGAAGATCAGGTGTCATTATCATGAATAAGTAGGTTAGCGGGACATAGACTAGATTAAAGCATGCTCAATGCATGATTGTTTTGGTGCACGCTGATTGGATGATTCTTATCCAATCAGCACTAGTCGATAGTCGGAGAATACTCTGGATTTTTCTTATGTAAAAACTATAAATATACTGACGTTTTTGCCTATTGTGCTTCCTACTGGCTTGTGACTTGCTATTTGGAATATAATGTTTTTCCTGTTCAACCGTGTTGTGATTTGGGGACTTGTCGAGTGAATCGGTGTCCGAGAATACTAAGCAATAGGAATAGCTGGGTCATTAACCGTAAGAAAACAGAGGTTATAACAAAGTACGATTCCAAAAATAAAATGTCATCCATGCTCAATGATTAAAGCAAATTTATGGCTGATGTTGACTCTGATGGATTACGTAAATTAGAAGGGAAAGTTAGCTCAAATCTAATGAAATTGTTAAACATGAATGCTATTAACGAAGAGGAGTTTAATTTACTCAAACCTATGGGTTCAGCATATCCTTATTTATATGAATTACCAAAATTCGTAAGACTAATAATCCCTTACGTTCAATCTTATCAGTGTGTCGATCATCTACACACAATTTTGCAAAATGGCAAAAGTGCTAAACGCTACCCGAAACCAATTTTGTAAGTATTCTTTGAATGACTCATTTGGATTAAGTACTTAATGGATATTAATATAAAAACTAAGACAATGTGCTCCTTTGATGTAAACGCTTTATTTACAAAGGTGACTATATCATTAAATAACCTTCCGTTGTCATTTTCTGTTAAAAATCTTAAAGATTTATTACTATTATGTACTGACAATATGAAATTCACTTTTGAGGGTGAGTACTTTCGATAGATTGATGGTGTAGCTATGGATAACCTTGAGGACCGTTGATTGAAACCGGTCATAATGTTGTGATATCAAGTCAACCTTTGTAGTATTGTATACTAAAGTTCATTGAAGCATCGGCTATACAGAAACTGAAACCCCTTTGTGTATTGAAAAACAATTTGTTCTTACCCTTAACCTACACTAGTAATACTGACTTATTATCCAGCGTGGTTTTCATATTGCTTTTGTGTACTTTATTATTCTTTGTTTCCGCTTACCTTTTAATTTGTCTAGTTGACCTTTTATTTTTCATATAAAAATGTCTTAACGAGCATATATGTGACCGAATTGTTCGAAATGTATTGCGCAAATATATCACATAATTCTGATAGCATTCGTCTTTTCATTGAATTATCGAAATTTATCAAAGTGACCATTTGTTTTAAATTATACTATTAATTTGACTGAAAGCTTAATACTCAATTTCATGCATTAAAATTATTTATGCAAGTGAAGAAAAGTGAAATACTCACAGCTTGTTATACATCCTAATTTATACTATGCTATAAGACATGAACTCATTTTCTTAACACGTTGGAACTTTAACCGTTCATGGTTATTCTTTTGTCTTGTGTGTTGATTATTGATTGATATGTATATGAACCTTCTTTTGCTTAATTTCTGCCCCTTTTTTGGTTTAATCTAGAGTAACTGTGGTAAAAGATAAAGAAAGTCGGAAAAGCAAAGGTGTTGCATTTGTCTTATTCTTAGATAAAAATGATGCTTTTAATTGTGCAAATAAATTGAATAATATGCAGGTAAATATATTCATGCAAATTTACTCACTTATATTGTTCAATATGAAGGTGAAGTAGTTTTTCGTATTTCATTTCATTCTTTCTCTTTGTTGTTTAAATAACGGTAACTATTAGTTTGACTATATAGAGAAATAATCTTGGTTAGCAAATTTCATTAAATCATTATATATGACTTTATCAAGTACAATTTAATGTATTTATGTTTACGTAAGTTTCAGTGATGCTGTAAGTGATGAGGAACAGGTGATTTAATTAAGCCAACGCTTTCATAAAGATTGTTTAATTAAATTTAAAAGAAAACATCAAAACTTAATCACTTCTACACTACTAAGATATTCAAGGTTAACAAAAGTTAATGTTTTACAGTTATACTCGGATTATGGCAGTGATAATTATTGAGCACATTTGTGGATTTATATTCACTGTCGTCTGTTATATAATATTTAAAGCTTTATAGCATCAGTCCACCTTGACTTTATTATTAATATTTCTCTTCAATTAGATGTTTGGTCGTACACTGAAAGCATCAATCGCCCGAGATAATGGTCGAGCTGCTGAATTTATTCGTAGACGAGAATATCCTAATAAATCTCGATGCTATGAATGCGGCGTAAGTTTGTTGAATCTGACTACTTAATGCGAAATTATATATATATATATATATATATATATATATATATATATATATATATATCCCTTAGGAAACTAAGCCACTGATAGTGTTTGTCTCATTCCCTAGAAATCCAAGCTATGTCTTGGCTAATCACGTGCGCTTATCCGGTAACGGTTTCCTAATTCCCCTCGGCATATCAGCTGTCCATCCTTAAAGTAAATCTGGCCTCTCAGACTCAGCCGATGGCGTTGGAGTGAGGGTTCATCACCTGAAAAATATGCCATTCTCGATTAGTGTGGTGAATCAAGTGACAGGCATTATTTTGTAGTTCACTAATTCTTCCGAATTCCATATCTGAGGTATGATGAATGTTGATGAACACTAGTTTTGGGTGTTTTTTGCTACCATATAGTTGTCATCAACTGAGAGAGAAAGGTGGTCACCAATAAAATTAAATAATTGATCAAACATTTTCAAATCTGCGAACTAATTAAGATCTAACAAATTGAAAAATTATTTAGTGACATAGCGTCTGAATTTGATCATTAGATCATTAAATTTGATATACTATATAATCCCGACAACTTGGATTAGGATACTCGATGCATTCTTTACACAGTTTATTCCAGTTACTTGGCCGAACGAGAAACTAACGTAACATTAAATGTAGTTTCCAACCGCAGTGTGATATTTCGTTCGTTAACATTAATAGATACATATTTGCATAAGGATTTGAAATTAGATTTTGATCGACCCTTAAAACTACTCATTCTCAGTAAAAATTGATAATTAAAATATGATGAAGGTTTGTTGTCACAATTGATTGATCACTGGGTGGTGATCAATATCATGCGTGTCTAGTCCTTATTAGTGCAGATCGAATGCTATCGATCAGGTTGCAATGTGGCCACCAGTCTAGGTGACTCGACACTGCGGGCACTATATATTGAGATTTAGATGGTGGTTGGAGGTAGTCAACAGTCCTACAGGAGATTAGCCGCGGCTCGGATAGCTTAGTGGTAACGTCTCTGACTGTGAAGCTGGATGGCACGAGATCGAATCCGCCAGGGGGCACCAGTTTCCTCAAGATTACAGGTGCACCTTGCTGACGAGTGCCAAGTAGCACGAAATCCGGGTCCAGGGTTTCCTATTGACTACCTCCAACCACCATCTAGAAGGTTTGTTGTGTTTGTAAAGTTCTTCCGTGTGGTTACCTGTTGCACATTTTTCTCATTTGCGACCAATAAATGGCCAGAAACGAGAGAAATATTACCTTTCGCAGTTCCACTAACCAGAGGGGAATGCTTTGAAGATAGATATGGATTAATATTGTAGACATTAGGCAAATAACCTGAATGGGGAAATTTTTGAAAAGTTTGATTTAAGACATTAATACTAATAGTACGATTTAAATGCGACATTTTTTGCAAATCAAATGAAGCTTCATTTAATGCGTACTGGGAGTGTCAGTATTAAATCGTGACTTGCGAATTTATACCATTTCAGCAATCCGACAGTTGTTACCAATGCCTTTGGGTGATCGTTGCTCTATACTACGAATAGGCTGGTGCTGAAAATATAGACCATTAGATTCGAACCCAGTGATCTAAAGATCCATAGTTCTTGAGTTCTGTTTTTGATGTGATCGTTGGTACGCACTGTTAAGTAGTTCCATACTTGGCCGAAACAACTGTCGTATGCTCCCTGGCTTTTAATGATACCACAACTTATTCTAACCTGTGACAAATACTACCTATAAAAATGAAACTCATCAATCGGACTATGTTCTAATGGTTATCCTCACCTTTTATTCTCCAGGTGTAATTGCCAATACTTCATTTAATATGAAGCCAATTGGCATCTTGTGTCACTTTTAGGATTTATGACTAATTTTGAATTACATGAATTAGTACTATAATGCATAAACAGTTTAATCCCCGTCTAATTTGTAGTCTTTCGGACATCTTAGTTATAAATGTGAAAAAAACTCATTGGGTGAACGTGAACAACCGGTAAAGAAACGTAAAGTTCGAAAGAAACTCAAGTAAGTTCCCTATAAAGACAGATTGTTGATAATTTGTAAGTATAAATATTGCTATTTTTTGTTCCATGTTAAGTGAATATATTCAATGTTTATTTGAAAATTATTCATGTAAGCTCTGTATCTTAAGTAGAATATCATTAATCATTTAGGTGTGATCAAATTCTATCTAATTACAAGTTTTTAGTCAGTCATAAACAACCTGGATCCTGCGATAGATGCTTACAATACAACGTGAAAGAATTAATAAGATGATCATCAAAGTAAGTAGTAGCACTATTAGTGTTGTCTGAAAAAATTTAGGCACATAGATTATGATTTGTGAAGAAAGAAATTATTTGTTGGAGTAAGAAGTACAAAATAATTTTAGAACTCAAGATGTAAGTGAAAACAAGAAGTGAATACATCTACATCATTGTTACTGATTCACTAATCACTGACCGCAGTTATTGCGAGGACCCCAACCAGGTGGTCCCCATTTATTAATTTCATAAACTGACGTCATGTTTCTGTTCCTTCCAGTTTACTCCTAATTCAGCTAACATCGCACGTCGAGGTATGCGGCGGTTGGTCATGCGTAGTAATCTTTAATAGCTTCTCTATGAGGTAGTCCCAACATTGACTTTTTATTTATCAATAATCAATTAGAACTTTTCGGAACATGTCTATATTAATTTGGATCGTTTCTCTTATGTCAGTCAGTCAGTCAGTCAGTCAGTCAGTCAGTCAGTCAGTCAGTCAGTCAGTCAGTCAGTCAGTCAGTCAGTCAGTCAGTCAGTCAGTCAGTCAGTCAGTCAGTCAGTCAGTCAGTCAGTCAGTCAGTCAGTCAGTCAGTCGGTAACAACGTAGAACTTCGTACGTACGTACATCAGTTCGAGTTGCCACACCACCTTAGCACAGAGATGCAGTTCTCGATTCAAATCCCGTAGTGGTAGAGGTAGCAAGATTATAAGCAGTAATCGGGAAGATTAGGGTTTGGAGATGTTATTTAAAGAGTATGTAATCCGGGTGATCCCGACGGTAGCTGCTACCTTGACATGGTGGTCGGGCTTGCCTATCGTGATGACGCGACCGAGCTATATTGGCTGGAACACATGTTCCTGTAGGTTCTACTATGCCAGGTAGGTCGATTGGAGAGCGGGAAGACTAAAAGCAGCAACTAAAGGTCTGAGGGCGAAGTCGTACTGCTGACTGTAGGTGAGTGATAGCAGTAAGGTGTTTTCCTCGGACAACCAGCATCTGCAGCTATGCTGCCTTCTCATAAGGAAGGAAGGGGTTAGGAAAGGTCGATCCTAAATGAGCTTCTTGATCTCCTCAAAAAATTTAGGCGCTCTGATGTAGTAATAGTGGCTGGTGACTTTAGTACTCAAGTAGGTAAACTAAACGGAAGGGAAAGACATCTGGGTGGATCTTATAGCGTCGTGTCTCAAAGAACAGATAATGGCGACCGTCTGTTGCAGCTATGCTAAGATAACTGCCTGTTTCTAGCAAGTACTAACTCTAAGCACAAGGAAAAACATCCTTTGATATGGCGACCTCCGAATTCATCCCAACGTTGGACCTAAGTAGGTCACATCGCTACCAACCACCGATGGAGGGGCTCTGAACATGACGAAGAGCATAGTCAGCTTAAGCACAGGCTGATACGAAGCCTACGCAATGATCGTAAACAGTAGTGGGTAGCGAAAGCAAGAGAGATGAAAAACACAGCAGCAATAGTTAACAGCAGATAACTGTTCAGACTTGCCAAGGAAACCGCTAGTAAGAATCCAACTTTTATCGAAACTATCTCGGAAAAAGATGGCCATATTATCCCCTCTCAATTCAGGAGATTGGGTCGATGGGTAGAACACTTTAGGGATCAGTTCAACTGGCCTTCAGCCACAATCGATTTTCCACGATCTCCAGTCAACCTGAATAACAAGTTAATGCAACTCCTCCAACTCTTTACCAAGCTGAAAAAGCTATAGGAAATCTGAAGCGTGCGAGAGCACCAGGTCCTGACAGGTTTACCCCTTAGAATTTTAAAAATGGCAGTTCAGTATTAGCAGCGCGATTGACTGAGTTTTTAGGTAGAATCTGGGAACTGGATGTAATTCCATCTGACTGGTCTTAATCACTGATTGTCCCAGTCTGTCATCAGAATCGATTACCTCAATTAGTGTTTCTCAGGGCTGTCCACTCTCTTCATTCTTATTTAACTTTGTCATTGACGTACTTATAGAGACAACATTTTCCTCATCTTCATTTCCAGGGGTTGAACTTCTACCAGAAGATTCACTTGTTGACTTAGAATATGCCGACGACAGTTCTATTTGGTGAAGACGCTGACAAAATGCAGGGTCTTCTTACCACCGTAAACAACAATGCAAGCATGTTCGGGATGCGATTCTCCCCCTCGAAATGCAAAATGTTGCTTCAGGATTGGGTTACATCCACACCCGAACTAGTGATAGAGAGTGAAGTAGTTGAGTGTGTCGACCGCTTCACTTATCTTGGGAGTCTCATCAGCCCTTGTGGTCTGGCATGTGACGAAATCTCAGCACGGATTCAGAAGGCTCGACTAGCTTTTGCCAACTTGCGTCATTTATGGAGTAGGGGAGATATCTATCGACCTACCAAAGGAGGACGTGTTTACTGCGCAGCAGTTCGTTCCGTCCTACTTTATGGCAATGAAACATGGCCGGTAAGAGTAGAGGATATTCGTAGGTTACTAGTATTTGATCATAGGTGTCTCCGATGCATTGCTCGTATATCCTGGGACCATCGAGTAAGTAACGCAGTTGTTAGGAAACGGGTACTAGGTAAGGATGGCAAATCAATTGATGGAGTAGTGAAACTTCATCAGTTGAGATGTCTGAGACACGTGTTACGTGTACCCAAACACTGGCTTCCCGACGAGCGATGTTTTATGGTGTAAGAGTAGGTTGGAAGAAAGCAGACGTTTAGGCCAAGACATGGCACAAATCCATGAAGTCACTGACAAGTGGACTGAGCCATGTTGGTAGGTGTAGACTGCCTGGTTGGGATCCGCGAGATGATTGCAACCGATGGTTAGAGACCCTGAATGATATGGCTCAAAATCGTTTGCAGTGGCGCAGGTGCACCCACTCTTTTTGTTCTCCCAAATTCTAATCTTCTGAATTCTTCATGTCCCTCATTTTCTTTCCAAATTTATTTCACTGTATTATACTCCTTGAATAACATCTTAGTGCTTAGAAGTAAGATATATCAATCACTGGCCCATTACTTTTTCACTAAATGATTGTGTGAATAAACCATCTATATTTAACGGCATGCTTAACAAAGTATGGAATTTTCTGTTGTAACCATACAAATATTCCAAACATTTTATTGCTTCGAATTTTTCGTCAATGTAGTTGGAAGTGTAAAGTGTAGTCTCTGAGTGGATTGATCCAATTCATCAACCAATCGAGAAAATTATACACAGTTATAGGGACAAAAATCTAACCCATGAAGTAAACAATGACAAATTTAATTTCTATAAGAACCAATCAACGTCGATGTGTACAGAACAAGCTGTGAAACACATATGGAGAAATCCGAACTCTTCACTTCTATCTGAATTTTGTGTTGATGATGTCATTCAGAAGAACGATGAAAGCTTCACGACCAAACCATCCTGCTCAGAGAACAAAACTCCATCAATATAATGAAATCGTACCCTTATTTATTGTAATTTAAGCCGTTACTACATGTTAGGTGCTTTTTGAATACGATATATTCACTACTTACGTTTTGTTTCAATAGTATCGTGTGAAATAAGAAAACTTCTGGGAGACATTTTACGTTCAATGGTATCGAACATTATGTTCAGTTTGATTTGGTTTCCCTACTCACAACTTATCTGAACCTTTTATAGTAAACTCTTATCAGAACAGATATAAAATCAATAATTAACGTTAAATGCTACTCATCCAGAAAATGTTTAAACTTGATGGAATCATTAGTAAATGGCATGAAACTGTATGTATAAAGATGCCATTCAGTTTATGTGAAAAACCAGACTTAACAAGAGGATAAAATCTGATTTGTGCTATATTCTGTTAGTTTGTTGATATTTAACAAATATATCGGTATAATAAGCATTTATAACTAAATAACTTGGATTCTCTCATAGAGATTATTCTGTTAGGTTTTCATAATAATAATAATACCTTCCGATAATATTACTAATCCTTCTTTGGAACACAATAAATCTAGTCTTCTGTTTGCTGTCAATGATATATCTGAATAGTATGTGTCATTTTTGTTATGAATGACACATTGTTCTATGACTTGAGAAGCGACTCTCTAATAAGCATCCTGGTTATATTTTTTCTACCTTGTGTATACTATTTTGGCTATCACATGGCTTTGATCAGCTATATGTCTCGACTTATAAAGTTAACTCTGAGTTGAACCGAGAATAATCCTAAATCCTGTTGGTTTGCGACGTAACCCCTTCTATCCTCAGCCTTGAGTTTGAATAAGAGAAGATAACAGTCAAGCTACCCAGTATATCTCCCTATAACACTCATTAGTTTATATATGTAAATTGTCAGACCACAATGCACCCCAAATATGGCAGGAGATGGAGCAAACAGTACATAATTAAGTAATAATAAATCTTATAACAATAGTTAATAAGTCCAACCGAAGCTTGTAATGTAGTTAATACTGAAAAACAATAGTTCAGCTATTTAATAATTATATTATAATAATAATAATTTATGAAATAGTCCCAAAAGTTCCAACATCCTCACTACTCATCTTGTGCCCCCAAACACCCTGGCACGACTGAGGATGAGGAGGGCCCTCTCTCCCTCCTGAAATACTCTCACATGGCCACGCGTATACAGGAAAGTCCTACTCACTGACTTCTTGCGGCCGGAGTGTTGTTTCCGAAATTGAAAGGATGAAAAGCCAATGTCTGGTACTTTAACAGGGTTGGTAGGCACGGAGCGGAGTTGGAAAACCTTGATTCCAAACCAGTATCCTGAGGGAACAAATGGTGTATGAACCAGTTGTTGGTCACCGGCTACCATGGGACTACATCTCCTTACGTTGTCCCACTGCTTCGTGGATTAGACTTTTAGGTCAGGGGCTCGGGGTGTGGCCCCTAAGAAAACTACCCGCTTTGGTTTGGGCAGTATCCTAGCCCTCACACAAATCGAATGATTTATGTAGCGCATATCTATTCGGTGCCTTGTTCTACCAATGTTTATGTGTTAAAATAAAATAATAAATACTCATCTTGTAACAATTTCATTGTAGTTTGTGTTTTCTTTTCTTTAAATCATTTTTTCATCATAGTTCTCATTTGTCTACATCAGATCCGCGTAATAGGAAAACACAAATGAATCACGACAACAGCGACAATGAGAATGATCAGGATAATGAAATAGATGATCCGTTGGATAGCTGGAGTGCAGCTGTACAACATCAAGCAGAACTCTACAGTAGACAATCGTCATCCAAATCAACATCGAAGAAACTATGTATTCGTCCGAATTCATATTTTTCGGACGAAGAGGATATTGATGATTCTTAAGTGTACAGTTAGTTTCCCCTCGGAAATTCTCCCTACCTTCTTGAGTTTTTACGTATTATTCTTAATCAGTGATGATGGTTATCCTGGACGCTTAAAATGAATACATTATCATTGATTTTTACCACTTTATTGTACAACAAAACGTTTTAATGCAATGCTAGACTTGAATTCATCTTCATTTTTAGCATACTTTATGTACATATATATTATGGCTTTACTGTGTAATGTAAATAAAAGTATATATTTTCTAACTATAGTTATTAAAGTGCTTACAGCTGGAAACGTGATCACAAGGAAGCAATAACTAGCATGGAAAATGCAGTCAGCTCAAGTTATTGCAAGATAAAGCTGTACAGTGGGAGAAAACTAGTAAATAGGAAGAGGTTCAAAGAGGGATACAAAATTTGAAATACAAGGGTCTTGTGGATATTTTCGTGATTACTCTTGGACTTCCTATGTTAATTGACCAGACAGTTGTTATTCCCATAATTCCCAAAAAGTGTATAGCTTTCAGAAGCCAAAGCGAATTATGTTTTTGTGACCCGTTGATCTGACTCCTATTTGTATGAGCGTATGTTTATGCTATGAATACAAATCTCCCATCAAACTCCGTATATTACCTAGGCTAACCCCCTCTGTGTGACGGCGGAAATAAGATGCCAAATACGGGTTAGCGTTAGATGAACTTATTGCAAGCACTTGTTTATCCAGACAAGTTCAGAATAAGAAGTGGGAAGGCGGACCGGAGGCGAGTGACCTCACTGGTCTTGATAAAGCGAGACTCATTATTTATAGTCAGACGATAATAAGCTACAGACATGTGATGAGTAGGGTAAGCAACACACACTCAAATGAAGACGATCAAGGCTAGTGAGCGGATAATCGACAAGGTCAAAATGTAACTCGTTAAGAATAAATCAGTCTGTCCGGGAGGTAGAACAATCCATGTGAGCTTGACATGATACTACAGTGTAGAACACATTAATTCAACAAATTATGCGACCAACACGCAGCAATGCGTGGATTGTTTAACGAACAAATATGTATGTTATCAAGCTTCTAAACAAATTAACATCTAAGTGAATGAAGTTAATTAATGCGTAAATTGCCATATGCATCCAAGCACACATACTCGTTTATACAGGTAAAAGGATTTACATAACGTATATACTTGAATTATTTTCGACTAAAATAAATGTTGAATTAAGTCCCAACTAGTTTGAGCGCACGCGTATGTGGTCAATGTTACTATGATGGCAGGGTCTACAGATAAATGTAAGCTGTTTAGTATCATCTCACTCCATTGAGCGTTTCTTTTGTATGATTCCCAGTCTTCCTGTTCAAGGTTCTCTTAACGACACCTAGTGCCTTGTCTTTTAAGAAAAAAAGTAATAACACAACTGAACAATTCAGTTATATGTGTTGGCTGTAGAAGTTTAATCTTACGGTATCGTAAATCATGTTCATACAGTAAGTCATTAAAAAATTAATGTCTGGTGCTACACAGTTTAATTTATTCAAAATTTATCTGTCAGTCAGCGTAAATGAAACGAAAATCAATGTAATTGATATATAGTTTATGGCCAGCTCATAATGTTTTCCATTTTTCCTTACATCGAGTCATATCAGTTTTTGTTCAGTCATAACGCTTACAGGCTTATAAGAGGTTTAGATCACTTGTAAGATACTTTGATGAAATTAATTGACTCCTGACTGAGTTAATGATTGAGATGAATTTTCTTTTTGTCATCAAATGTGAGACATTGTAAATAAACGATTAAAGCAAAGAGAGAAAACAAGTAGCTTATCTTTAATTATCATCTAATATTTGTATACTTCGTATGGATATATTACTTAGTAACTTAAGCACTTGACTTTAAATTGCTGTGTAAGAGTTTCGAACACCTTTAAACATAACTTGGCTTAGGCATATGATTAGTATTACCATCATTTACACAAGTGTTGCCCAATAACCGATATTTCTTCATATTGAGCTCGATTTTGTGTTTTTCGTATTTGCCTCGAATCGTATAATCTATTACTAGTCTGTTTGTGTGATCAAAAGTATAAATATAGATTGACTGTATAGTTATAGAAAAAATCAAATGACTCACAAATATCATTATTTTAATGTTAATTTTAAATAAGTATTCAGGAGCTTTGAGCTTCCAATTCAAAAGTTTTAGCTTCCATGGATAATAATTGAAAAGAAAATACTGACTCATGAAATCACTGATTGTAGAATTATGCTTAACTCTTGACACAGCTGAACTCCCTAATAATGATAAGTCCAGCCCTTTTAGTCCTACCTAATCAAAAGATAGTGATTGATGAGTTATGATTCGAACAATCAACTTCTAGTCTCTGCCTTGACTTTGACTCCACCCGAGTTGTAAAATCTTAGTTGGTCATTTGATATTTTTTCTTCTCAGACAATAGATGAGGCTTCTTACTTAACTGACAGGTTGGTATTTCTATAACATAATTATTAAAGTTAAGAATTTTTTCAACCATTACCCCGTATTTGGTTTCTAAAGGTTACTGAAAATTGTCACTGTATCCGTGAGGTCGATCGGGATCAGTAATTGTAGTTAACTCAATTTTTACTTCCATTTGATTTTGTGTCAAGCAAATGTGTTTGATTGACTTTCAAAACTTCAAATTAAGTAGAAAGGATTAATCTTCGTATTCTCTGTTATCTTTTCCATTTATTTTCTCATCCTATTTTTGGTGTAGAAAGACTACTCATTTATTCTTTAGAATAAATTTGTTATTTCAATGTTTCATCTCATACGGTTCATTTGATAAATCTTTGATTACTTAAAATTTGGGCGTGTCATTGGTACTCTGATAATTTTTATGACTTTGTGAGGCATATTTCTGTAGGTTATAAGTTATAGTCTTGGTTACATTGTGATAATGTTTCAGTTGAGAAACTATGTAGAGTAATATATATTATTGAATTAGTAAACAAATATTTATTACATTGACAACTGTTGTGATTGAGTTAAATCATGCTCAAAACAATAGTATTAACTACAGTTAACAAAACTATGAAGGGTTCTTTTTTGTTTACTGATACAATTGCTTATGATTAGTTAAGTCATAATAGTATGGTATGTTTTTACGACATAATTTGTAGTTAAGTAAATAGGGGGAGAGTGATCTCTTGAACTTTCTAAGAACATAATTGATTTTTTTTTCTATTAAACAGCTTATGCTTTGAATACATTGGATAAAGTGTTTAAAAGGTTGTCATTTATTAATTTACAATTAATTATTTTTCGTCGTTTATAATATAAACTTAACATCCTTATTTTAGTTTTGATTCTAGAAATTATAGATTGATTTATTTTTGAGCATATCGAGTTCTCTGAGCTGATTGATTTAATTGCAACGCTTTTGTTATCAGAAGGGGTTTTGTGGAGATTGTAGTAATTTAAACAGTTGAAATCATGAGTCAATTGAAGCTAGACCACCATGGAAAACCTGGAAGCACTGGACGGCCGTTCCTTCCCACTGTGAGACTCCTTAGCAGCGCGCATCCACGATCCTGCACCCCGCGAGATTCGAACCCAGGACCTATAAGTCTCGCGCCAGGCGCTTAACCAACTAGACCACTGGGCCGGCATCCAACGGTGTTAATGTCTAACTTCAACTAATATATGAAATTGAGCAACACATCCACCATTATCATCAATGAGTTACTACCTCACAGCTGACCCGGTTGAACTCCACTAGTCACTGCTTCTCACTAGAACTCCAGGATATATCTCTTGAAGCCAGTCACTAGTAAGCATATGTTGATTAGTATCAGAAGGAGTTTTGTGGAGATTGTAGTAATTTCAACAGTTTGAGATAGGTCCCGGGTTCGAAACTCGCGAGGCGGGTCGCGGATGCGCACTGCTGAGGAGTATCACAGTGGGAAGAAACGGCCATCCAATGCTTCCAGGTTTTCCATAGTGGTCTAGCTTCAATTGACTCATGATTAAATTACTACAATTTCCACAAAACCCCTTCTGGTATATTTAGTAATTTTTCAGAATTCTGATAAACGTTAAATAGTCTGGACCATCTCACCAACATAAACATTAAATGTCATGGGTCAAGAATTGATCTCACAGTTGGATATTCATCTACATTTTTTGTGTTCTATGAAATCTTTAGGATCCTAATTCAATTCTATAACTTTTATTCTCATTTTATTTGTCTTTTTTTCACAGATTATTACTATTATTAGTATTTTCAATCATTCGTTATTCTTTCTCTTCGTTAGACTGGTTGACCACTGAATAATATCTAATATCTATTTTGCCTAGATCTGTCAATCAAGTTGCAATGTAACTTCTAGTATAGGTGATTTAGTGTCTCGTGCGCTATATTTGGATATTATTGATTTCTATCGAATGTTTTTAACCGCTAATATCATGTCCGTCGTAGTTTTTTATGCGTGCCATACGTTAATTGAGTCTGTGAGATGTGGGACCCTGTGATATCTGTATTTACAACTTTATTTTCAGGCTTCTTTCTTAAATAAATCTGTCTCAGATCAGTTTTATATATTCTTCTGTTATAGTTTATGGAGCTTTCAGAATAACTAGTCTATTCTGAACTAACCGAAACGTTTCAGGCAAGTCTTTATCATCCAACGAACTAATATTGAAGTAGGGTGAGATTTGCATAATCTATGTAACTTGGGAACATTATTATGTTGGACTGAATAGTCATCATCTGCAAAATCTCTATAGATACCAATGTTTTGATCAAACATCATCTGTTGTACCCAAATGTGTGACGTTTTGCACAAAATGTGTATGTTATAGATCTGTCAAGTGATTCTTAAATCCATGATATATAAGTCAAGTGACTATGTCAATATAAGAGTATTATTATTAGAATAAGTAATTTTTGGAGATTTTTTTAATTTCCAAAGTTGAATTCACGAGTCAATCTAAGCTAGACCCCCATTGAAAACTTGGGAGCACTGAATGTTTATATAACGAACTGAGTATATCTAGAAGATTTCTGAAAGCAAAAGAACACTAGAGAGAGCCTTTTCATCTTTCCATGAGATTCAGCAATATGCAGTTGTTGCTTAGGTCTACAAATTGACTTAAATCACAAATATGAATCACTAAGTATTGACTCAAGATGATAAGATTAGAGCAACTCCAGAAATTCCTAGTTTTAATCCTTGGCTGAACAGAAAAAAGCTAAGCATTTACCACAGATGTTGGGACAGTCTCATCATCATGT